ACTTGCGAGTTGTTTTGAAGATTTTGGCGGCTAACTCATTTTATATCAAGCCGTCCAAGTGCTCGTTTGCTCAAGAGGTGGTCGAGTACCTTGGGCACTTTATTTCTAATGATGGTGTCAAGGTGGATCCAAGGAAGATTGAAGCGATGGTGGGATGGCCGAAACCCACAAGCTTGACGCAATTGCGAGGGTTCCTTGGTCTCACGGGCTACTATCGGAGATTCGTAAAAGACTATAGGACCATCGCGAAGCCACTCACGGAGATGACGAAGAAAGGAGCATTCAAGTGGGCGGAGGCGAGCGAGAAGGCTTTCGAGGAGCTGAAAGAGGCCATGACGACCACACACGTTCTCGCAATGCCGAGGTTTGATGTATTGTTCGAGATTCACTCGGATGCGAGCGACATTGGGATCGGGGCGGTTCTAGTGCAGGAAGGACGACCCTTGGCCTATCTCAGCAAGGCTCTCGGGCCGGCGCGCTTAGGGTTGTCCGCGTACGTAAAGGAGATGCTGGCCGTGGTCGAGGCCGTGCGCGTGTGGAGGCCGCACTTGCTTGGACGACGCTTTCGTATTGTCACGGACCAGCAACCGCTCAAGCACTTTCTTGAGCAAAGGATCGTGACGCCCGAGCAGTAAAAGTTCATATCCAAGTTGATGGGATTCGACTTTGAGATAGTGTATCGGCCCTGTCACCAGAACACCGTGGCCGACGCATTGTCTTGCCGGGAAGACGTGGCCGAGCTCGACGCAGTGACCGGGCCAATGTGGGCCGTTTAGGCTGAGCTTCGGAAGGCGCAAGACGAGAATGTGCATTGCAGGGACGTGATCGAGAAGCTGAACGTGGGACACGACGAGGACGAGGACCACGACATGCACGATGGCTTGCTCCTTTACCGAGGGTGAGTCGTCGTGCCCAAGGCAGGATCGTTGCATAAGGACATCATCCGACACTTCCACGACTCAAAGTTTGGAGGACACTCGGGGGTGTTCCGGACATGGATGAGGATTGCGAGCACTTTTTACTGGCCGGGACTGAGGGGCGATGTGCGCGACTACGTTGGGCAATGTGATGAGTGCCAACA